TTTGACCATTTGGACATTAGGGTTCTGTCCTAGCCACATCATCATCAGGGACATGCAGGTGTGGTGGACCAGTCGAAATCACCGGTGAGGTTCTTATCATGAGTTATCATCACGGGGCAGGAAGTGGCATCGACGATGCTCTAGTTCGTGCCGAATGATCATGAATTTTTAGGTGTTCTTCCTGCCAAGGGACGTGATGATCTGTTCCCTTCGGAACGCTTCAGGACTTTCGATTTGACCATTTGGACATTAGGGTCCTGTCCTAGCCACATCATCATCGGGGACATGCAGGTGTGGTGGACCAGTCGAAATCATCGGTGAGGTTCTTATCATGAGTTATCGTCACGGGGCAGGAATTGGCATCGACGATACTCTAGTTGGTGCCGAATGATTATGAATTTTGAGGTATTTTTCCTGCCAAGGGACGTGGGGACTTGGGCACGACACCTGTTCCCTTCGGAACGCTTCAGGACTTTCCATTTGACGAATTGAACATTAGGGTTCTGTCCTAGCCACATCATCATCGAGGACGTGCTGATGCAGTAGACCAGTCCAAAGTCACCAATGATGATGTTATTGTGTGGTATCGTCACGGCGGAGTAGTTGCCACCGGCGACATGCTGGATGTTTCCAAATGGTACCCCAGGATTTGATAGCACCATTGGGCCCCGTGATAACGAGCACATACCAATGAGACGTTGATCGGGTTTGATACGGGGAACTTTTGGATGACGGATGATCCAGTTCACGTGGTTGGTTGGTGACGTGATTATTCAGTTAGGACGTGCTTACATGGGATGTGGACCTCACCTTTTTTGGGACGTGGATCCCCCAAATTAGAGTGTCGCTGCTTGTTCCTGTTCCGCGGGTTCCTGGCGGATTAGACCCGGTCTCTGGCTGTGTCTCAACCCCTTGTGAATGTATTGGAACCGGGTGACTAGTTTTACCGAATTATTGAATTTTTCTAGCTACTTGAAATTTTGGGATTGACCCGAAGTCATACAACATAACCAATTCATCCAATTTCTTTCCGGAAGGTCATGTTAAGGGAAGTGATAACGAGAGTGTCCTTCCGTTCACTAGCAGATTAATTTAAGGCACCCCCTAAAAAATAATATAAAACCGTGGTTTTCCTTCTCCTTAATTACTTTGACGTTTGAAATGATTTATTGCGATTACATTTTGCAGACATTTTGCCAGACGCAATTTGCAGTTCCGGGAGATTATCACAACTTATCAAGGCAAGCTTTTCATCTTTCAACATGGATCTTTAACAAATACAGTCGAGAACAGATTGAGACACAGTCATAGTGGATTCGATTTCCAAATGCAAATCCTTCGAAGATGGAAAGCCTAAGCGAACTCTTTCGAAAGAGAAGACTCGTTAGCCCTTCTTGGAGATGCTGACTGATCCGGACTATATTTCGCTTTCAATCATGACCCATTGTTTAGAAATTACATTTACCATCCAAAGTTCAAGCCAACTAAGCTTTAACATCACATGAGCCAATTAGAATAGATTTCTTCAATCAATACGACACTTTATTGTGTTACCCTTCTACAGACGCAAAAGGCCATTAAGGCGATATGAAAGGGTCATTCTATATACATGAAACGTGAAAATATTGATAAAACTTTTGTCCAAACCGGGTGCACCCAATCATTAGAAACTTCACCACGTGACTAGAAACAAGATCACATTATTTTTTTAAATATAAAATTTCACGAGCATCGCGTTCTTCCTCGGGACTTTCATAATCACGCGTTGAACATTCTAACGTAATAATAATCTTTTTACGTGTTATATACATAGAATCATATGACCCTTTCATATCACCTTAAGGGGATGTGATAGTGGTATCTGAGGGGTGAATCGTTCCACTTTCCTCCGAACTGGGTGTACCGATCCGCGTCAAACTTTACACCGTGAACATGGAGGCAAGAAGGTAAGTCTTAACACTCCGAAAATTTCACTTTTCATACAGAATTGTAAAAATATCGATAAAGAAATAGACAAAATATTGAAATTTCACGGGCGTGAGGGTCTTCCCTGTAGCCTCCGGGTTCACGTCGTAAGTTTGAAAGAGTTCGGTGGACCCAGCTCGGATAAGGGATTGATAGGACCTTTTCGACGCCACTTTTGTGTCAGGTTAAGGTAAAAATGGGGATATAAATCCCTGATAAAATATCTAAGCGTTGGGTCCGATGTCATTCTATGTCCGGACCAGTCCGATTTCCAAGATTAAGGGTCTCTATCGTCAAAGGGTTGAACCCCTCGCGAGGAAGTCGAAGTCGAGGACAGGTCGCCGGTTTCTAGCGTTTGTTTTCTGCTTTTCCTCTTACATCGCTCACCCGCGTCGTCCACGATCTCATCCGATTTCGTATCTCTCCCTGGAGAGTCTCTTTTTCTTTTGGTGTAGCATTCGTGTGGGGCAGCAAACAGCAGCGGGGTTGGTAGCTGGGGTTCGTGCAGCACAGCTTGTCAGCAGGGTTGTGTTCGTGTCATTCGTGAAGAGGTATTTACTACATCTCATTGTATTTACAACTGACGGCCCCGGCTCCATTTCCGCGAGATTCGTCCCCGGGTACACAGAGTAATGTCGGTCCAAATACGCGTTTCTAAGGAGTTCCTCGACTCGCCATTAGAGGGCCCAAAACCGCAGACGTTGGTACCGCCAAGCACTGTTATTTGTCTAAAACTCTTCCGGAAGGTCTCGAAACATCGCAAACCGTTAAAAGACATTCCTGCAAACAGCTGCAGGAAAATTCTAACTCTAATACCCTAACCGTGAATTGCAGTGTAATTAAAACAGCAATGTACAACACGTTGCAAATCTCACCTCGCCACTCTCTCGACTTGGAAGTCTACAAATGAGTATACCGAATGAAAATACATTTTTTTTTTTCTTTAACAGTGCACTTGGCGTTTAGAATTTCAAACTTCACGAAGGATCCTCCGATCCAAATTTACACGTGGAAGTGACATCCGAGGGGTCAATCGTTTATGAAACTTATCTCCGAACTTGATGCACGAAATCGTTTGAAACTTCAGAACGTGAATATAGAGGCAAGAAGAAAGGTTCTGCCGCTCGGGAAATTTAATTTTCTCCAAGAAATTATAAAAATATCTATTAACGAATTTTCCAAACGAAAAAAAATGGAAAAAGTTTCATGAACGAGACCTTGACGTCACTTTCGCATCACTTTAATGCAAGTGCAATAGAAATGCCAAAGAGCGGAACAAGAAGAATCACATTTGCAACGAGGTGTCGATTTTAACCCGCGATTCTATTGCAGATATCTCTCCTTAATCACGGATAGGTTTTCGACACCAGCAGAGAGGAGTCTCATCAGATCGGGAAAGAGACCCGGAAATGGAGCTTGCGCAGAGGCCGCGGAAAAAACGCGGCACGTGGCGACGTCTATATGTGAAAAAAAAGGCAAAGAAACTGATCGGGTGATTGGTGGTGTGTGGCAACTAGGTATATTTGCACCGTTGGGTAGCTGCGATAGAGGCTGCTAGAAAGAGAGAAATAGAAACAGTGGTGTCGGTGATACGGTAATACAGACTTATGGCTCTTCATCTACTCGCTACGAAAACACTACAAGTCACGGCTAAACGCCAAACAGGACAATGGTGAGTGGACGAACACAAAAGCGACAGACTAGGGCGGGGATCATAAGGAAAGAGGCTCTAGGATACGGTTCAAACTGAGACAGAACACCGGAACAGGTCCGGGTGGATTAGAGAACAATAAATAATGGGCCCGCGTTGACCAGATCCCCAAAACCGACTTCAAGATAACCCAGTTCCCTGTTGGTGCCTCTGATAAGGCGCTAAGAGTCATCCAATTGATCATCCTAGGAGCTTAGATGTCGCCTTAGATGACGACCGATCGTGGTTTTTGGTGACAAGAGACCTGGTCCAGGTCGTGGTTGGTGGACCAGAAGTCGGAGCTATCGGTGGTGTGGTCAACGCGAGCTTGACCACTGCGCAACGTTTGGCCAATATCACCGGTGTCTGGTGATCGATCACCTGTTTTGTGGATGGTGTACATTGATAAGGTACATCTCTTGCGAGCGCAGTACGAGTGTTTCCTGGCGGCACAACAAATGTTCGGTCTACTGCGGTCCAAGATAGAGGGAGAGGCCCCGAGTTTTGTCGCGGATTGGCGAAAAGCGGCGCAGCAGCGAAAGCTTCCTCAAACGCAAACCCAGGAAACTGATAAAGGAGGACAGAGTATTAGATAGCGAAGATAGAAGAAACGAAGAAGACCCGGGTCTTGGAGATGAGGGCTGGACATTAGGAGGAACGCTCGACGGGGCTCCGATAGTCGAGGAGAGATTGTTGGGCAACGTCAACAACGTAGGCGGTGGATAGTAACAACGTTGATGGATAAATTCAACAATGTCTCAAATCTGACGGCAAGGTAGCCGGCAGTATTGAAAATGTTGGACAGGGCAACACTGTTGGCTATCACAAGTGTTAACAAAATCGATGGCCAGCCCAAACTGTGTGGTGTCCCGTGTCAATATTTCTTAGGATAAGTAAAGAAAAAGAATCATGAAATTACCTTTGAAAACACCCAGAATGATTTCCAAGCCAAATCTCTGGACACGCCAGTCATTTACCGTTCAAGAGAAAGCCAGGAAAAATTTGACACCTTATCATCAGCCCCTAATATTTCCAACATCATCGTGTCATCTCTTAAGTTTCATTCCGTCTACTTGCAATTACTTATTGAAACGTCTACATCCATTACCCCAGGTAAAGTCCACCGAACAAAAGACGTAGTCACCAGCTCCGAAACAGTGCATCGATTGCTCATCTCCGAGTGGTCCTCTGATCGACTTCTCTTCAGGGTCCCGAGCGCCATCCAGGGACACGAAGGGGTTGGGAGACACATGTTAGACAAACGTAGGAGAAAGAAAGAACAAAAAACGAGAAGAGAACGGACAGTGAGAAGAAGAGAAGACAGAGAAGACAGAGAATGCATTACCGCAATGCTAGCCCGAGATTGTGCGGCCTTAATGTGGGCTTGTAGGTGCAGAGGGGGGTGGAAATAGCGGCAGGGGTCCCGATTGCATCGGCCCTTGACAGCGTCCATGCAGACCGTCACAGAGCCGTCCTCGTTCGCCTGCACCGGCTCGAGGGCGTGCGCGAACCGGCACTCCGTCTCGCCGCGTTTGCACGCCCCGCGTTGGAACTCGCGACATACCTACAGCAAGAGCGAACACGCATGGCACGGCACTCTATCTATGGGCTGTTCATCGATAATGAGGCACACTAACGGGTTGGGGTAGGGTGGCAATGAGATCTCGTGCCAATGGCGGCGGTCGTGGCGGTGGTCAATGCGTAGGTACCTACGAGTCGCCCCCTCTAGGGGAGGTCTATAGGTCTATGGTCTAAGGTCTAAGGTCGGTGGCGGACCTTGGGTAGGGTGGTCTCCAGAGGTGCGGACTCTAGGTGGTCTAGGTGGTCTAGGTAGGGATGCTGATTGGGCGACCATAGTGGATACTGGACCCTTGCGCTGATCAGGGCCTTCCTGGAGCTTCGTGGCCGGTGATTTTCGTTTAGGGATCTTCTTTTTGGGAGCTGAACGCTTAGAAAGGAGGTTAGTGGTACTTGGACTGATAGTCCATGGTCAGGGGTCCCTATTTTGGGAGCTGGACCCTTTAACACAGGCTGATCAACACCTGGACTGGTGCTTGGTGACCCATTATCACTGATCCCTGTTTGGGAGCTGGACCGGGATACTCCAGGATGTGGTAACCAGCGCTAGGGTCGCTCTTCGCTGTACAGAGGCGACGCAAAGAAAGATTTCACCCCGGTTTAGGTTCGTACCAGGCTTTTGGGGGTTTCGAGTTCGTTGGGTTCTTTGTTGTTGGTGGTGGCGGTTTCTTGATGGGGACAGCGAGGTCGTAGAGTTCTTCTCGTGTGTGGTTTTGGGGACTGACGGATCGGAGGCTGGGAAGGGTTGTGATTGGGTTTGGGTTGGTGTTGTCGGGATCGTTTATCGTTTAGGGTAGGCTTGCCAGAGTGTTTTCCCGGGTTGGTATCGCGAAGATGCTTTGAGCGACTCGGTAGGAACTCCGGGTCCATCTTTCTTTGGCGCCGCAGCCTCTGACACTAATCAGAAAAGTTGCCACAAGGACGTAGGGGTTTCAAGTCCTGTAGATCTCTACTCAGGCAAGTACGATCGGTGGATTCGTGGATCTTTGAGCGTAGAAACACAGGCTGCACATCAGTGGGGTTTCTTCACCCCATTAAACCCATAGAAATTACGATTCATTAAGGGGGACGAGGCAGGGAATGATCACTGACCAAAGGACCAAAGAAAAGCCAGATCTGTAACCTCTGCCATTACACGAATCTCATTTTGGACCTGGTTATCAAAATGAATCCCACTTGCAATACCGTTTTCCGAACTTCGCCCACCTGGAAATGGAGTTTGTGAACAGGACTGGAGGACATTGTGATACGTTTCGTGTCGAATTTTGCATAAACTTCCATAACGAGCAGACAGCGCTGCCTGTAATTCTACGCTCGATCTACGGTAATAAATAGCTGCTAAAGAGAAACAGAAAGAAAGAAAGAGAGAAGGGGATGACACCGGATTTACAGTTTCCTCGAAGAGTCCGAGCATCTCTCTTGGCGCGTTGAAGAAAGTGCCAACGCGACTTCGACTCGCTAAGAGGAAGAGGGAAAGAAAAGCAAGCATCCCACGACACAGACGCATATTGTAAACAATTAACAATTCCCTTTGGATGAACATCAGAATTTGCGTTGACAGATTTCATGCACGGCGCTACCCCAAACAATTTTTCCAGCGTCGGGCCAATTAAAGGAGACCAATTGCAGACCGACCGAATCAGCAACGAGCAAAGACGATCACCCAATTAAGCATTTACAGAAGCCAATAGGAATCGTAACAACTTTCCCTCCGATCAATTAACCACAGAGGACTTTCTCACCCTCTCCTCGTCCCTTCCTCTCTTTCTCTTTCTCTCCCTCTGTTGTCAGGTGTCGTATTTTCGAGAGCCGTTCCAACTGATACGAGCAACCTCGCTAATAATCGGCGCAAATAAGCACTAGCTGCTAATGGTTCGGTGGAGACGACTTACAAAAGGAACGGCTCTTCACCGAAGTAGGTCCAAGAAAGAAAAGCGGCGGGTATACATTCGAGCTCTCGACGATCGTGATCCTCGAAAGTCGATCAATTTGTCAATCGAGTTGATCGGTCGCAGGGGTAGGGGGCCACGAAGCCGCCGCCATGCTTATCAAACTGCTGGATGTCGGAAGTGCGAAAACCCGCCAGACCAGCAATGGATTCCTTTCGACTGGATTTCTGTTACACGCGAGCTAGAGTCAACTGGGACCGTCATAAATGTCTTATCAATGAAGTCCATATCTCGGCTGGTTATCGAGTTTAGAGCTGCAGTTTCAAAGGGTGGCGGTGGCTTCGGCCGCCGTCGCTAAAGGACTCGCTTTAGCGCAGAGGCCTTAAGAAGGTACCAGCAGGCGCCGTTTTCGGTGGTTTCTCTTGTAGTATTAGTGGTGTAAGTGGTGCATTACGGGTTAGGATGTGAGACACACAACATAAGCAGTACTTGCGTGCGTTATCAGTAATCAGTGACCTCCTTGGAGGCTCGAGTTTACGCAGGGAGCATCAGGCAATCAACCGAGGTCTTGTTTTCGGTCCTCGCAAGATTCTACGGCGCTTCTTTCGGTTTTACCAATATTTACACACAACAGACACACACGGAGAATTCCAAGCTAACGATACACACGCACGTGGGCGAGACGTGGAGGGGGTGGATAAGGCTGTGTGTGTGCCAGTCGCTGTTCGGGATGTGGATTGAGGTTAGGAAATAAAAAATTATACTTTGGGAATTAATTACGTTTATAGGAGGTCATATTTAAGGATTGAAACTGATCGGACTGAAGGTGGAACTATTTCGGGATTTTTAGCGACGGTTGTGGTAGGTTAGGGCTCATCCTTTGGAACGGATTCATCTCTGTTGTTTCTTTGGATGTGTTTAGACGTTACTCGGATCGAGCAGAGTAAGTAGCTGACTTCTACACGTGTAATGGTCGCGTTTACACCCTGTCATTTAGTATCGACATTATATCCGCAATGTGTACTATATCTGTGTGGCGTAAACACTTGTACTACACCTGGAGAAACCGGTCGTTCGGTACACGCACGTGGCACGAGGGTGATTAAGGACCTCCGATATCGATATTTCTGCCTATTAGATATCGGGATATCTACGGAACTGAATGCTGATTTGATTTATTAAAAGGCACCTCTTAATAGCTTTTGATAAGAAAGGACTGATGAATTTTTAAATTTCGGTGATACCGGCGGGTGAAAAAATAAAAAACGATTTGATTACGGTGCCACGTGTTTGTATTCATCCGATAGGTCGTTAAAATAATTACCCAATGTTAACATTCCATCCAGATAAATTCAAGAAAGATCCATCCATTTGGCAGTTTGAGTTTGGTATATGGACTAATATAAACGCTCTCTTTGTTGTTAAAGCGAAAATCTAATGTGAGTATTCCTTCCCGAGAGATTCAAGAACAATCCAATATACCGATTTCCAAGAAAGCGGATGGCAACAATGGTTCATTGAACAGATCGAATAATTCGATTAATATAATCGTCTTCTACATTGTTAAAGCAAAAATCGAATTCGAGTGTTCCTTCCCGAGAAATTAAAAACAAGAATTCACCGACTGATTTCCGCAAAAAGCGGATGGCAACAATGGTTCATTGAACAGATCGAATAATCCGATTAATATAATCGTCTTCTACATTGTTAAAGCAAAAATCGAATTCGAGTGTTCCTTCCCGAGAAATTAAAAACAAGAATTCACCGACTGATTTCCGCAAAAAGCGGATGGCAACAATGGTTCATTGAACAGATCGAATAATCCGTCACACACCACGTGGGCGAACAATCCCCAGACACCCGACGTCCACGAAATCCGAAACCGCCGAGTGATTTTCAAAAAAAAAGTCAAGAGGAGAACAATAGGTATGGTCTCGGATAGTGGAGTTTGATTGACAGGTCGGATAATCCGACCGGCACACACAGACAGGCAGACAGAAAGACGGACAGACAGACAAGGCAAACAAAGACACAGAAGAGAGAGAGAGAGAGAGAAAGAGACGGGTGGGATTAATGTGGAGGAAAGCTCGCACTCGGATATATCTCGAGCTTATCGCGATTTGCTGTGATAGCCGGTGAGCATTCCAGTCGAGAGTCGTACAGAGAGTACAGAGAGTACAGAGAGTACAGAGAGTACAAAGAGTACACAGAGAGTACAGTAGCGTAGACGGCACGCACATGGTGTGTCCTGTGTGTGTGTGTGTTTCGCGTCTCTGCGCAGACGTGTGGACGCAGACGATTTTCAGCATCCGCGCATGCGCGGCTGGTGTGGAGGTCGCGGGGCCTGGCATTCGTCAGGTGGACGTCGTCAAGGTCGCATATCCGTCCCGTCACCTTCCCTGCATGTGTGCGCGTGTCTGTGTGTCCCCGTCCTCAGCGTGTGTGGACATTTTCGTTCCGCGTTTCGTTTCGCGTTTCGTTTCGTTCCCTTCCAAGGTTGCACACACGTCTTCCCCCACTCTTTCTTCTCTCGTGTGTGTTATATAAACGGATATAAATGCCATATCCTTGTGAGTGTTAAGTGTGCGGCGCATCGCCGGATGTCACTTGTTACGGTAAGTAAGTGTGGTAAAAAAAAAAATATATATATATTACAGGTCAACGGTAAGTGTCGTTTTATCTGGATTATTTTGTGATCGTAGCATTCCAAGTAGCTGAAAGAAAGGTCAGTCCAAAAATCTACGTACAACATTGACAATAAGTTACGAGGCGTGCGTAGACAATGCGTGTGTTTAAGGTACTTAGTATGAGAATAATTTCCCAATTCCGTGGTCATTGTTTCATGTCATTTTTTCAGGTATCTACGTTATCGACAGCAGCCTCCACGCGCACCTCGTGCTCAGGCAAATGTAAGAGAACTAAAAAGGTCAATCGATATCATATGCTGAAAAATGTGAAAAACAAAAGAGTCAAGTTACACGGTTAGAGGAATGTGAGAGAGATAAATATTCAGATATATATATATAAACATATGCGTATATGTATATATATATATGGAGAGATATATATACACATGGTAGCGTTACACCACATGTAC